TTAGGGATGGCTAGCGCAGATAGCCCTCGTGTAGCTTTGCGCGAAATTCAAAACAAACAAACTTTATTTTTTGCAATATACATTTCTACCATTTTTGAAGAAGAAGTTTTTTTTCAGCTTAGAGCTAAGTATAGAATTTAGTTTCGGAAATAAGAGTAACATATTTTAAAGATAAATGTTGAAGTATATGATTTTTTATACCGAAAATACCCCAAAGAAACGTGACACAACCCTTGGTCTTTAATGGATTTGATTATTTCATTTTTATTGTTTATCGTTAAACAAAAAGCTACATAATGGGCTGTGTGTGCTGAGTCAACCACGGAAATCAGACCCCACAATTTAGTGATATAGGCCCCCAAGCTTACCATTGAACCATCGGATGGCAGGATGTTATCTACCAAACTGATTGTCTTGCTTGTGTTATTTTACAGTTGAGCACAAAGCTGCACAAAGGACTATCTGCGCTGTGCCCACCACGGGTATCGAAACCCGGTTTTATGTCTCTGCAGAGAGACATATTGTTTTTCTATTATTTCTTTTTCTTCTCATTCCAAACATTTTTCAATCTACCGCCATTCCTTCACTTCTGGACGGATTGGTTTCAAACTTGGTAGGGTTATACCTTAGCTCAATACGGCCAGACACTTTTTTTGTATTTCAACCTTTTAAGGATTTTATGGGATCAAAGGTCAAACAACCTAAATAAACGTATGTTTTGAACTCCTGTGCGGTCATATTTACAGCAATCAAGATGAAATATAAATTTCATGCGCCCAACACATTTACATACAAAAAAGTTGGATTTGGACATTTTGAGACTTTTTAGGGAGGGGTCATAACTCACAAAAAAGCATAATTTTGGAGTTTTTGGCCAATTACCCGGCTTACTTGGACCGATGTATTTGGGATTTAATACAAAGATACTTTTCTATAGGTCCTACACATTGACAAAGAAAAATGGTGAGCTTGCCCATTTTTAGTAATAACAGGGGGATCAAAAAAAGCACAATCTTAGAGATTTTTGACAATTACTCCACCATGTTTCGACCAATTTACATGGGATTTAGTACAAATATACCATTTTACAGGTCCCATACATGTAGGATATGCCCATTTCTGGTCATTTTAGTGGGGGTTCAAAAGGTTAAATATATCCATAATTTTAGGGGTTTTAGTCAATTATTTAGCATTGTTTCGATCAATTTATATGAAATTTGGTACAAAGATACTTTTGTACAGGGAACGCACATTGACTAACCAAAATGCTGGACTTGCCAATCGTTGGTAATTATAAGGGACCAAGATGCTATAAAAAGCACAATTTTAGGATTTTTTGACAACTATTCCGTCGTATTTCAGCCAATTTACATGGGATTTGGTACAAAGATACATTTTTACAGGTCCGAAAGAGAGATATAGACAATTTTGGAATTCTAGTCTTTCGCTCAATTTTTCAGCAAGGAAAGAACAATTTGGGGTTTTCGTGAACTATTCATGTGTATTTCAACCAACTTACAAAGGATTTGGTACAAAAATATCTTATTGCAGTCCCAAGCAGTGATATAGACAGTTTTCGATTTTTCTATGTTTTTACGATTTTTCTGGTGTCAAAATTAGCCATGCTGGGATTGCGTGATGGAGACATGTTGCACTCGCCCGCAAATGTTGGCACGTTTAATTTGTGTTATAAATCCGCAGATTTACTGCTGTGCCACTGGGGAGCACTTGTGTTCCCCAATAGTGCTATTATATTTCATTGATTAAATCTAATAGTTTTATTGTTTTTTAATAACTTTTCTTTGTCTTTCAAGATAATTTTTGACTCAATCAAATAAGCTGGATATGCAAGATAATAATGCATTGAAACAAAATAATGCTCTATAAGTTTATTCTATTTGATAGGAAAAGCAATTAACACCAACACTATCCCCTATAATTCTGGATAACTAATAGAAAGAAATGCTACCAACGCTATCTAATAGTTGAATGGTTAACTATTTCTTTTCTTTACTAATATTAATTGTTACGTAGGGTTTCACAACTGTAAGTAACGCCATTAGTTGATATTATCTATAATTAGGAAGGTTTCTATTGTTTCCGGAGTGAAGTTCAAAAGTCAGTTTCAGACAGTATGTTAGATTTATGATTCTCCCTTGTAACAAAATATGTAACAGTAAAAATATATTTTTATTATTTTATTTTATATGTGATACAACAATTTACCGAGATATAGACAAGAAAACAATTGTTTTACAGGTTTCCTGTAATAATTGAAAGTGTCAACTGTTATTGGTCCTCAACAAATGGTTCCAAATGCTCAGCTACTGACTAACCACATTGTTAGGATTTTCTAATACACTCACACATTTGTAGAATACTCTATTTATTTAAACATCGAAAAAAAACTGATCATGTGACGTATCATGTGAACACTTGATCCACATAAGTACAAAAATGTAATTATATCGTGGCTGATGTGAAAACATTGTGTAAGATCAAGGATTTTTCCAATTCTCAACGAGCCGCGATAATTTGTACTTTTCTACTGACTGCTCAAAGACATCTGTCGTCAGAGTCTACCAACAGTAGTAACTGAAAAGAAATGTAGCTAATAGTAGAAAAACTCATGATGACCGAAGAAAAATAAGATTGGACAGGCTTGTAAGGTGCAAGAAACGTCGAGTTGTGTTCTAATTGAGCAATTCGTTCACCAGTGGTCAAGGTACTATTGTCCCCAACAGTATTATACGAAGGTCATTACAAGAAATGTTAGATTGCATCAACTCGAAAATCGCTTATATCATATGCAAAGAAAAAAGCATGGCTTCAGTGTAACTTAGAACATGAACTGTGAATGGCTGAGTAGCATTCCAATTTCTTCTGTTCCAACGGTGGTGTTAAAATATGAATAAAACTGTATGCAGCACTTGGCCCTGCTAGTTTTTTGTTCTTTTTTTTTTTGAACAGTAAGAGTTGGTGAAGAATGTGTAATAGTATGATAAACGTTTTCTTGGATCTATTGTTCCTTTCAATAGGGAGTCCTTGAACTTTGTTGCCGATCACGTCTATCCTGTAATATTGTATTTCTACTTTGATGGACAGGGGTTTTCCAAAGAAAATAAAATAACAGTACATGGCGCTCGTATTTCCAAAATAGGTTCGGAAAGAATAAGAGCAACTTCAGTTAATTTCTTAAATAGCAAAACCACCGTAAATAAATGTGATTGATAATTTTTTAAATTAAACTTAAATGTAAGATTTGTCACGATATTCTTCAATGAATAGGTTAAAATCAAACAAGACAATTCCTATCTTTGTGCAGTCTACACCACACCAAATTAAGATAATTTTCGCAGAGAATGATTATCCAACCCGATATTACTTAGTGTTAATAACAAAATTGTCAGTCACTTTATGTTCGTGAATATTTTGAACCACAACTTTTTCAAGTCTTCTATATCAGAAAAAAATACATTCTTTAGCCCCATTCAGGTGACTACAATCAAACAAACAAAGGTTATAAAATTTTTCTTAATAGCTTTAATTATTTGATTATATAACACAAATGTGATATTTATTCCTTGTTACTGCTACTTAAACTAAAACAGTCATAAGAATATCAATTATTACTTAATTTAAGCATGTTATTTTTCGTTAAATATATTTGTCATTACATTTTATTTTGTGTATAACCTCAGGAAGTTCCCTCGAACATTGAGAGCGAGAGTAGTGAACATGAAGCAGGAGGAATGTTACCTATTGAAGAGGAAGGGAATTACCCCATGATAACAGATGCTAACGATGGTAAAATCTCAAAAATGATTAGCGATTTTTTGAATGTAACTATTGGTCGAAACGTTGTAATTATTAAAACCAGAACTTGCCTACTGTAAATGTTGATGTTATATTTTTGAATTACATATTCATTTCACTAGGTTCATTACTAATCATCGATTAGTAACAAATTAATCTTGTTTGAGTTTGATTGTTTGTGTTTTTACTTATCATCCTATTCTAATGATAAATATTTCAATTTACAACAACATTTGATGATTCCACATGTTCTACTATTTGAATAACTCAAAGTTCACGTAATTTTTCGTACACTTTACAGAACAATTAATATGTTATATACAAACAACAACTTACAGATTGATTTTATCAAACGCTTTCTTGTTTATCTAGAAGGATTTTCTTAGTTATTAAAGACGCTTTAGATTGTAACTGTTAATATTTATTAATCAGTTCTGTTTTTCTACTAATAAATGCTGTGATTTTGGAAAACTTACTTAATTATGTACATTATTTCAATGAAAAAGTTAAAAAACGTTTTCTAAACTAAGCTAGTATAAACAAATCGAATGACAATCGTATTCTGATATTTTAAGTGCATCATAAGATAATTAGGTTGTTATTATTACATTTGTTTTACTAATGTTAAGGAATGAATGAAAATAAGAAGAAAGGACTGAGTCAGCATCCATCTGGAACTTGCCCAACAGATGTACCTCTTGATATGAGTGGCCAAAAACGAGAAAATGGACATGTGAGATGGTCACAGGAAGAACCAATCAACATGATCAAAGTTATTGACACCAAAGATTCTGAGCAAAAAGATCGTCCACTATTACAACTAGCTGTAAGATTTCGAAATTTCATGTTTAATTATATCAGAACATTAAACTGAAGGATCAAATCCCTCTTAATTGTACTATAAACATCTTAAGTATACAATTAGAGTGAAGCATTAATATTTTAATCAAGTGAAACGAAACTCAAATTACCAAGAGTGCTGGTAGTTTCACTAAGGCTCAACCATTTCACATCAAGGAATAACAGCGAGAAGGCGAGAGAACAGTGTAGAAGTGTAACAAATGAGAAGAGAGGGTTAGAAAACATATCGTCACAATAGTCGAAGTAGCTGTGAAATATCAAATTTAACAATGAAAAATGAAGACTAGAAAAGTTACAATCCTAGCATACGTGTTAAGCACATCGAAAGAAAGATATTTAGAGTAAAAGGAGAAAAGAAAGGGGGAAATATATTTAACCATAAAAACAAAGATGATGAAAATAATGTTTAAGATTTTAGAAAAATTATAGGTGCAATCATGATCTCATTTAAATTTTTACTACTATAATTTTTCACTTCTTTTGTAATAAGTTCTCAAAGAATATCACAGTCTTTACACTTGAATGTTATCTCAGTTTTTATCCTGAGAGCCTACACAATCAAATGTATATATGTGAAATCTAAATTTCCGTATATGCAGTTTCTAATCTAGAAACAACGAAGTTTTTTACACTGATTTCCAATTTTGGGGTAACTTTCTCATATAGTATATGTGTGGAGTTTTACTATTTTACTCTACTTGTTTCAGAGCTCGAAGAGTGTTGGGGCTATGCGTGAAACTTCGGAAACTCCTGATGGCACGAAGGATGAGGAAGACGATGACGAGGAAGATGATGCAGACAAGATAGATGCGAATGCGTATGACCCTGAACGATTAAAGGCGTTTAATGTACGTAGAAATAAACACACGATAGGGCTACACTTGTTAATTTGATTTTAGGTTTTTTATTTATGTTAGCGCAAATCTACACAACAGTCTATCTGCTCTCTGTCCACCACGGATAATCGAACCGTGGATTTTAGCGTTGTAAGTCTATAAACCTATCACTGACTCACCGAGGGGACACATTGTTTAACAGTGATTATACTTATATCACCTAACAAAAGAAGTGATGACCTGTTACAAACTAGGCTATACTGATAGTTACTATTGTTTTTTGCAGGTAATTTATCTTTTTTTTGCAATAATGGTTAGATAGAAAAGCATGTAGTCAGTATATGATTAACATGGAAGAGATACTCAGTTTTAATTAGACGTAATATTCTCTGATACTTGAGTAAGGAAGACCATTATGCTAATGTAATAATAGGTAGGCAAACAGCGATTTATAAACATACGGAAAAGTTTTATTGGTGATGGAACATTACCTGAAGAAGGCAGACCAATGTTCTGTCGAAACATGTAGTATGTTCCACCATCAATAAAACGTTTCCTTATGATTATAAATCGTTGTTTGCCTATCTTTTATTATTCTCTGATGTGGCTTTTATTGAGATAGTTGTCAAGCAGGAAAAGTACTACCTATTATTATTCTCTGATGTGACTTTTATTGAGATTAGTTGTCAAGTAGGAAAGGTATTACCACAATGAATAATATGGGACCCTCTTCACCTAATTTTATAGTTCAAGTTAACTGAAAGTTGACGTAGTGATAATTTTCATATAGGCTTTAGCTTAACGCAAAACAGATTCTTAAATACCAAGTTATAATCAAGAGTGAAGTTGATATTATTTTTTGTTAGTTAACTTTCGTTAAAGTTATGAAAATAAGGTTAATAGAAAAATTAGAAACAGTTTCTAACACAGCGTAAATTAAAAATTGTTATTCAAATTATGTCATGGTGGAGTGAGCATTAAACAAAATCATGATGAAACTGTCAATCTACTCAGGTTTTAATCTTAGGTCGATAACAGTCAACCGGCACTTCTATCAGTCTTAACTATGTGACTACAGCGATCAGGCATGAATACCAGTCAACTGGCACTTCTATCAGTCTTAACTATGTGACTACAGCGATCAGGCATGAATACCAGTCAACTGGCACTTCTATCAGTCTTAACTATGTGACTACAGCGATCAGGCATGAATACCAGTCAACTGGCACTTCTATCAGTTTTAACAATATGACTACAGCGACCAGGCATGAACACCAGTCAACCGGCATTTCTATCAGTCTTAACTATGTGACTACAGCGACCAGGCATGAATACCAGTCAACCGGTACTTCTATCAGTTTTAACTATATAACTACAGCGACCAGGCATGAATACCAGTCAACTGGCACTTCTATCAGTCTTAACTATGTGACTACAGCGACCAGGCATGAATACCAGTCAACCGGCATTATATCAATTTTAACTATATAACTACAGCGGTCAGGCATGAATACCAGTCAACTGGCACTTCTATCAGTTTTAACTATATGACTACAGCGGTCAGACATGAATACCAGTCAACCGGTACTTCTATCAGCCTTAACTATATGACTACAGCGATCGGGCATGGACACCATTAACGTTGTTCCATATATTCTTACTATATTTGTGATCCTTTGTAAAGTGTAAACGCTTGTCCTCGATCACACGTGAAATACATGTATTAAGGTTTTTGCAACTCCTATCGCGTTCCTATCAACTTCACGAACATCTTGTTTTTATTCATTTATTTTAAGACATGTTTTAAAAAATCGATTTGATATTGGAATTCTTCAAATGACACTATCCAACTCATCGGATGGTTTTCTTAAATGTTCCTCCTTCGTATTAGTCCTTTATCGCCCTCTTGCGGCAAAATACTGTAATGTTTAGGGCTAGGCGTGGTTATAGTTAGCGTGCGATATCTGTGAATAAGAGAATTCGCAGTTTACGTCTCGTTGACACAAAATCCACATTTTGGGGCTGTTGATGTGTTTGTAAGAGTGACGATAAAATCATACTTTTCCGTGAGGTAAGAGTAACCCAAAAGTTGGTGGTTGTTGCTGTTGACTAACTGCCTTCCCACAAGTCTATCAATTAAAAATCAGGGACGAATACTGCATATAGCCCTTGGTGTAATGATAATTCTAATACAAAGATTTTTTACCTTTACCCTTCGCAGAACTTTAGCTCTCGTTTTTCGCTGCTAAATTCTAAATTATTTTCCTACTTTTCATAGTTTTAGGTATTTTGGTACTTTAATGATCATTCACTATCATCATATCAATTGAAAGAAGAATGTTTGTGATTCAAAGCAGTGTGATAAATAAGTATATCATTATGAATATGTGCTTCAGTGGATAAAACCCAACACCATTCTACACTTTATGGTGCCTAGTAGTTGATGTGTTATTACATCATGATAATATTTATGAAGTGAATATTTATTGTAATTATAAGACAATAGGTGGATATAACACAGAGAATACAGTGAGAGAGAGACAGATAGACACCTTCAATATTATGCCAACAGTGGTAGACAAGTTTTAAAGCAAAAGTTAGTATTTTATTTTGTTGGGCAACTTATGACAAATAGTGTGTGAATATGGGTGAGGGGGTGTGTGAATATGCTTTATGAAGCAGTTCTGGTAGCTTTAGTTTTGTTTTTGAAAAGTTGCTTTTCTTTATAAATCATACTTGGTTAATATCTGTTCACAAATATGTGCTAGCATAGTTAATAATTCTTTGATAGATTGTTTCATCTTAGTTAATAAGTTTTTTCTTACTCTGTAGCAATCTGTAATGTATGGCTATCCATTATTCATTATGTACAGATGTTTGTACGGCTATTTGTCGATGAAAATCTTGATCGGATGGTACCAATTTCACGCCAACCGAAAGATAAGATACAGGCGATTATCGATTCATGTAGTCGACAGTTTCCGGAATTCTCCGACCGTGCCCGAAAGCGAATAAGAACATATCTGAAATCTTGCCGAAGAACTAAGCGCGCAAGAGATTATAATGGATGGGATTTGGTAAGTTTCATTAACTAGATCTTTAGGTTTCTGCTAATATTGAATAAGACAATAATTTTTATGTATTTATATATTTCTCGAGTTTTAAAGACAGAGTGTCATAACATGAATATCAAAAATATTTTTAATAATAATAATTTTAATTCCTCTGTTGATTTTTAATGTTCTTAAATAGTTTTTGCTAGAATGAATTTTCACAGAATTTGTCTGATTTTGTTGAAGAGAAAACGTATTTTTTCACAAGAATGAATCTACGGTGAATTTTCTTATACTTGAGAGCCAAGTATTTGTTATTGTCCTTACAGAGTGAATGCATCATTTGATATATCATATAAAACCCAAAAATGTATGAATTAGTATTTTCCACTTAGAATACTTCATTACCAAATTACTTAAAATGAATAGTTTTGGTTCTCGGTACATCAGAATTTAGAAGAAAAATTAGTTAATATTGAAGTTGAAACATTATTATTAGGTCGTTAAGAAATCAATATCGCTTTTTGAGATGAAAAAACCCGAACATCTTATATATCAAACCAAAATATTTCACGTTTGCATACGTTTTCCCATTAAAAT